CACCTCCCAGCCGATGGATACGTTGTAACTGCCCTGCTTCCTGGCTTGGCTCATAAGCAGACCTTGCTGCAATGGAGAGCAGGGATATATGTCCTCTATCTGATGTGACCTGAGACCAAGCCGTGGAAGGTGCTGATGATTAACTCTATCAATGGATGTATAGTCGAGTGCAAGTAATGGGATGTCCGCCAAAGTGAATTCCCTGACCGTGTTGGGTGCTAGGATCGCGACTGCTTGCGCGATGTTCCGTCTGAACTGGTCGACAAACAGGGATAGCTTCTGAGCGCTGACCTGATCGGACCCGACCGTGATTTTGAACTGTCCAGCCTCAAGGAGACATGAAACCTCGATTATTGTGTCGACCATGGCGCCCAAACCGTGTCGTCCATTTGGAGTGATCTGCTTCAATGCAGTACCATCTATTATTTGGCCAGGCAAGCCGTAGGTGAAGATGATGTTGGAAGATCCAAGCGTGCTACTTTCATCTCTTCGGCGAATATTGTCCTTGGTCTCACGGATTAGCTGAAGAGTGATCTGATCCGAGTGTTCCACAGGCACGTGCACGGATTCCATCGAAGAAAATTGACCAACAAGGCCTCTCAAGTCCTTGCTGAGAGTAGACTCCCGGGCAGAGCTCTCGACAATAGCCTGGGATGGTTGGCCCTGCTTCTTGAGGATTTGGTAATATGAGGGGATCAATGCCGCCAGAAGTAGTTCCGGTGTGTTGGTGCCGAACTTCGCGTTGCAGGGTCCAGTGAGAAGCCCTGTAATTTCGCAGTCGAGTTCTAGCGTTTCTGTAACATGTTCCCGATCTCCACTGACAGTGGCAGTGGTAAAGGTTTGCAAAGAGCTAGCAATAGCCTTCGTGCCACGTTCGCTTCTGAGGTGGTCAAGCCAAGCATGAGAGAACTCGTCTCTGCACCAAAGCTTACTTTCCCAGACATGTTTCGTTTTGTCATCATCTGACTGAAGCAAGTAATCGAGGTGGCCAATAACAGTACTCAGAGACTGAGAATCAAGGGTGGCTGCATGAATGACAAGAGAGATGTGCTGTATCCCGCGAAGAGAGAACAAATCAATCATGAAATTTGGGTTACCATTTATACCAAGGCACGTCTGACGACGTTGCACAATCTCTTTCGCTTCCTCCAAGCTAGAAACATGGTTCAGATTCAGGTGGTAAACTGGAGTTTCAAGCTCGTCGTGGTCTTTGAATACTTGAAACCATTCCCCATTTTGCTCCTCGAACCCGAGAGTGAGCGCTGGATAGGAAGAAGTGATGCTTTCCAAGGCCTTGTCGAGCTGCTGAATACTGACTTTGTGATCGAGCTTCAGCAGTATAGCGTGGTGGATGGCACTGTTGCCAGAACGTGACGCTTCGAGGAAGGTGCGCTGTAGGTGCGATGTCGGAAGGTGATCTGCCTTGCTTCCCAGGAGCACAGTCGCCGAGCCAGACTCCTCTATCTTAGAAGCAACTTCAGTGACGTTGTACCGCAATAGGTCAGCTACTAGAACCGTCACTCCAAGTTTGCGGAACTCAGACATGACAGCCATCGCTTTGATAGAGTCACCACCCACAGACAGGAAGTTGCTGTGTTTGCCAATTTGCTCCTCCGGTATATTCAAGATTTTCGACCAGACCTTCTGCACCAATGTCTCTGTATTGCTCATAGACTCCTTGTTATCAGGTTTGTCGGAGTTACCCATGATGTGCTGGAAGGCCTCGGTGCTGATATCAGCAACGAATTCCGCAACCTTCTTCCGGTCCATCTTGCCCGATGACATGAGCGGAAGACCCTCCAGGGCAATCCAGACGGTCGGGACCATATAGGAGGGAAGCAGATGTGACAGCCTCTTTGCAATTGCCTGTGTTTCTTCTGCGGCCTCGGCATGGTCCACCAAGCGGATACTCGGGTGTGTCTGCACCGAGGCAGTCGTATATTGCTTATGAAGAGACAAAACACCAACTAAGCGGGATTTGCAAGGACCACTGTATGGCACGAGTGCCATACCGTTACGGATGAGTGTATCTGTCCAAAGATGGTGCTCTACCTCCCCTAACTCCATGCGCTGCCCATGGAGCTTGACCTGGTGATCCTTACGTCCGATGAAGTGGATCATACCGTCTGCATCGTAGCGTACCAGGTCACCCGTTTTGTAGAAGCGATTCCAGATTTGTGAAGTACCCGGGGTCATCCAAGCAGGGCTTTGAAAGAAAGCTGCTGAGGTTTTCACAGGGTCTTTGAGGTATCCACGCGAGACAATAGGTCCTTGGATAATCAGCTCACCTGTGGCGCCAACAGGGAGTAGTACGTTGTGATTTTGCGGATCCACTATCCAGCATACACCACCGATCGCTCTACCAATATTCCGTGGGCTGGACTGGGGGTTGAGCTGAGTGTTGGCGGTAGCTGCGACAGAGCATTCACTGGGCCCATAGCCGTTCATCAGCTGGAGCCTTCCAGCCCATGTCATCATATCTGACTCTGACATAGCTTCGCCTCCTAGTACTAGAGTCCTCAAGAGCGGCAGTTGATCGGGAGTCAATACCTTCAGGACCGACGGCGTCAAGAAAGCCCAGTTGACACGGAAGTCATTCATGGACTGGACAAAGTCTGCACGCCCAAGTTGCTCATTCGGGATGCAGATGCAAGCGCCAAAAATAAGCCCCGTGAGGATCTCCAGAATGCTCACATCGAAGCTGTATGAGGCGAACTGAAAGATCCGAGAATGAGGTCCCATGTTGGCCGCTTCGCCCTGCCGCAGGGATCCGCTGCAGAAGGACTGGTGCTCAATCATCGTGCCTTTGGGCTTTCCGGTGCTACCAGAGGTAAAGATCACGTATGCAAGATTCTGAGGTGTGACAGCGACTGGAGCGAGGCACCGGTCACCACTCGTCATGACTGTTTGTTCACTGACTATTATTGCCTTAACAGAGAAGTCCTCGAAAAGATCGTGATATTTGGCTGTCGTCAAAACAATCGGTGCATCAACTTGGCTGACAATCTCTCGTAGGCGTGATGAAGGGTGCGTCGGGTCGAGAGGGACAAAGGCACCACCGGATTTTAGTACTGCAAGCATTGCTATGACATACCATGCCGTCTTCTCAAAGCATAATGGCACAATCACCTCAGCCTTGACTCCCAACCCTACCAATGCGGTAGCTAGATGGTCAGTTAGGGAATTCAGCTCTGCATACGTCATCTGCGCATCCCAAGAGTCAATAGCAGGAGCCTGTGGCTGCAGGGAAGCTCTCTGTCGAACTAGTTCATGAGCACACTCAATCACTGGAGAAGGTGAGTTAGAGTTCCAGTCAATGATCTCTTTGCGGCTTAGCGGGCCCAAGTAGGTTGCACTTGCAAGATCAGTGTCCGGGTGGTTGTTGACCAATTCGAATGTCTGACGGAGAGTATCAGCCAAATGGACTGCGAGGTTCTCTGTTACCGTGGACGGGGTATAAAGCATATGAATGTCAATGCCATTCTTAGTATTGATGGCATGAAGCTCGAGGTCAAGCTATACGTGGTAAGTCTTTATCTTTGAGTTGCTGATAAACAGGTGCGCCCTACCTCTGGCGATAGCGAGATCGGTCTGCCAGCTACACGTTCTTCGCGAAGGATTATAGCGCTGCGGAAGGTTTGATATGGTTGAGCATCGGGCTTCGCGTCTTGTGCTTCCAGCATGGATTGAGGAAGTTGGAGAGTTGTTCTCACTGCTTCGAGAAGGTCTTCGACTTTGAGAAATTCGTCCACATCAAATAATATAGCTGTTGTCATTGTTATCCCTAGTGCTTTCGGATCTCGACATACGATACTCACTCGTGGAGCGGGATTCAATTGCTGTCTCGTCATGGTATTCAAAATTCACGCTCTCCGTGCTATAGCAACGAAGGGCAAGGCCAAAGGCTGTGCAGAGGATCTCGGATACCCCAGATATGGTGCTAGTTTTCCCTTCAAGAGGCAAAAAGTCATCTATAGAAACGGGTTGCTCAGAGTCTGAGATAAAGTCATGCTTGATACTCTTGACAGACTTGGGCTCGATGCTAAGATGAGGTGGCTCAGGGGTGGACAATGCAATTGGAGCCATTTGCGCGGCTGGTCAATGAGAGGAAGGTAGAGTTTGCAGATGAGAAATATAGACTGCAGGTCACATTGATTAAAAGGAACTTATGGGATGAGAAAGAAAGCCTCGCCTAAGGATATGTCCATATCGACAAGGCTTGTACAAAGATGTCCGGCCTTCGAGAGGTTGGATTGAGCCTGAGAACCAACACTACGTTTCCCTGTCAGCTTCGTGTGGAAGACTTCAAGCAACAGGGGCTGAGCAAATCTATCGAGCAAGTGAAGCTGATACGATTGTGGCATGCAGCCATCGCGTAATTGCCCCATGGCCTGTATCGACCCTAGTCTTGATACCGACTCTGATACCGAACCGTCACGTATTTGGTATCTAACGCTGTTACGGTAATTATGGATGTATTGATACCATGATCGGGGAGAACTGTCAGGGGACCCACCGGCCACATGGATAGCAAGGATCCTTCTTGCATGGTCCAAGGCTTCGCTCATCGCGCCAGCGCCGATCATGTGGGGTCCAAAACATGAAAGTCCAAGCGTCGCTGCAGGATCCGACCTGTTCCAATGGCGTGGTTATATTTACGCACCCGCCAATGAGCGCCACCTACGCCTGGACAGCGTCTTCGCGGTCGTTTGCGCCTATGATCATGCCCCTCTTGTACATACAGGCGCTCTAGCTGGCGCATTACCCTGACAATGTCGGGGGTAGGCAGGCAGCAGCTCTCTGCTAGTAATCCATCTGAGGATTTCGAACAGTATTGCAACACCCCAAGCATTGCTTTGAACTTAGGCAGTGCGACTCAACGAACACCATAGGAGTGAGTGCTGGCAGTCCGAGGTCTAAAGTGCAAACTGAATCGCTTTACTCCAGATGGCCTAAATTCACGCTTGCTGCCCGTACTCCGCAGAATAGGCGAAGTAGCAATGAACTGCTCTATCGCATCCGAAGATACTTTCGGGCCTCAGGCTCGAGACTGCTATGGCGGCTACGACTTTACTCTGCTGTTCGAGGAGTCTGTGATGACGATCGGCCCAATCGGACTTTTACTTCTTTGTCTTTTCCCTAGAGTGGTCTACCTACACAGAAAGGAACCGAGAGATGGAAGTAAAGATGGCGCTTATACGGCCAAACTCGTAGGTCGCATATCTTGTTTTCCTGCGCCCAAGTCGTCGCATCGTTAACTTTGTCGCAGATCAGCTACGGGTGGTTTGCTGCCATCCAAACGGCTATTTTAGTATCGTGGACATCAAGTAGTGAACCCGTGACACGCACGACTATTCCAGCTGCGGTGCTCAGTCTGGTCGCTGCTATTATGCTCGGTGTCGCATCGCAATTTGAACACACGCGCTCTGTGAAACCACCCCTTCTCACCGAAATCTACCTCCTTCTTACCATTGCCTTCGATGCCGTTCGACTACGCACGCTATGGGGTGTTGGGTATCAGGGTCACATATTCAAGCTATTAACTATCTCGGTTGTGTGGAAGTTGGTCTTACTCGTGCAGGAGGCCTGGCCTCGGGCGCTTGGTACATTGGAACAGTCATACAGTCCTGAAGAGAAGGTCGGGTGGATCAACCGGCGCATGTTTTGGTGGGTTAATCCGTTACTGTTTCTGGGCTCCAAGAAAGATCTACAAGCGGATGATCTCTTCACTCTAAACCGGTCCTTGCAGTCTGAAGTTTGTTCGAAAAGCTTCTCCAAGGTGTGGCAGAATTGTAGGCTTGTCCCCCTTTCCTTTCTGCATTTAGCTAAGTATGAGCAGCAAGCCCGGAAAGAAAAGGCAAGAAAAATGGACTTCTCTGGATTATGGCGTGGGAGCACAAGCTGGTTCTTCTCACTGCCGTTATTCCTCGACTGTGCTTCACGGCTTTCACCTTCACCCAGCCGTTTCTTATCGATGCGGTCGTCAAGTACCTGCAGACTGTGTCGGAGAAACACAATCGCAAGGATGGATATGGGCTGCTTGGTGCATATATCATTGTATACGTCGGTTTAGGGGTGAGTATGTTTAAATGTTTGGTGCTTTGCGAAATGCTAATACTGGTTTAGATTTCCGAAGCATGTTACCAGCATATCACATACCGTACTATCGTCCTCATGAGGGGTTGCCTTGTGCCGCTAATCTATGAGAAGACGCTCTCCATGGATCCGAGATCCGCCGAAGAATATGCACCAGTAACGTTGATGAGCGCTGACATTGAAAAGATAGCCTTTGGTATGCGCTACATGCATGAAGCTTGGGGTAATATTATCGAAATTGCTTTGGCACTGTGGCTGCTATATCGCGAGCTAAACTATGGAGGACTGAGTCCTATCCTTATTGCAGTCGGTAAGTCTTTCCACCGGTGCAGACAAGCTAGGACTGGATATTAACATTCTGCTAGTGTGTGGAGCTACTGCTGCAACCATGGCACCGGCTGTCGGGCGACGTCAGGCGACTTGGGTTGAGGGCATACAAAAGAGAATCGACGTCACGACATACATGATCAACTCCATGAAGAGCTTGAAGTTGGAAGGTCTTACCCCTTGGTTCATGGATTTTGTACAAGATTTGCGAGTTCAGGAGATAGGATACGCTAATCGCTTCCGATCCTTTCTTATATACGCCGTCAGCTTGTGTTAGTACATTGCTTCAAGGCTTTTTGATTACTTTCTTACTAACATACACCAGCATTCGGAACTTCAGTCATATCGCCCGTGGTCGGCTTCGGTATATTCATCGCCTTATCACGATCTGACAATGGCCCGGAGCTGACCACCGCAAGGGCATTTACAACTCTGTCTCTGTTTTCAGTCCTTCAGAACCCAATGTCAATGCTACTGCAATCGGTACCTAACCTCATTTCAGCCGTTGGATCTATCGAGCGTGTCCGTGTGTTCCTGATGACAGAGAACACCAAAGAAGTCGGCTTCCTCAGCTCCTTTACCTCCGAGCAAACCTTGTTCCCAGAAATGGAAAACCTCCGAGATATGGAATTGAAGGATACAGAGATGGAGAATGCAGTCGAGGCGCTGAACTGGAGTGTGGGATGGGTATCTACTCGCGAGCCGGTTGTGAAACGAATGACTTTCAAGATCCGCCCGTCTACGCTAACGATCATTACGGGCCCAACTGGGTGTGGGAAGTCGACTTTGCTGGCTGGTATGAGGGGCGAGACAGCCGTCACAAAAGGGTACATGAAGTGTCGCTATTCGTCTGCCGCATTCTGTAGTCAAGATCCATGGCTCCAGAACGGAACAGTTCTGAGTAATATCCTTGGCCCTGCGACCTATGAGCCGCGGTGGTTCCGGGAGGTCACGCAAGCTTCTGGGTTGAGGCAAGACCTAAGGTCGATGCCGTTGGGTGTTCAGACGGTTGTGGGAAGTAAAGGACTGTCATTGAGCGGTGGTCAGAAGCATCGAGTGGTGAGTCACTCTAATCTTCTTGGAGATCATCATTTCTGAGCACTGATCATCAATATGACAGGCACTTGCTAGAGCGCTTTATTCACGACAGCCCTTGTTGCTCCTCGATGATATATTTAGCGGGTTCGATGCGGACACAGAGAAGCTAGTAATAGCTCGGCTATTCGGTCAAGGTGGCTTTTGTCGGAAACACAACCTGACAACCATCCTTGCAACCCATTCCAGTAAGTAATCTATTTAGACACCCTGGAAAATAATAGAAACTAACCTCGATGTCAAAGCTCGCCTTGCCTCCTCCGCTGACTACACCATCACGCTCGACAGCAAAGCCCGTTTCTCAGAAAAGGAGGATTCAATTGTTTCCAGCCTCCCCGGCCCTAGCGGAGGAGACTTCCTCCCAGAGCCCATCATGAGCGATGCAAGACTGAGCTGGATTGTGAGGCAGTCTAATCCCGATGTACCGCACGAACTTGCCGCACAGCTTGAAACATCTGATGCTAGCCGCCGGACAGGCGATGTGACAATTTATAAGTACTATCTTGAAATGGTTGGAATACTTAACTCTGTGGTATTCTTTATCGCGGTCGCGATATTCACTATCAGTTTGGCATTTCCAAGTGAGTCCTGCAATCCACTATATCCGATTAAAGCTCACATATGCAGGTGTTTGGGTCCAGTGGTGGGCTGCTGCGAACGAAAAGCACCCATACGAGGACCTTGGAATGTATCTGGGCGTGTATGCCTTTCTAGCAGTTATGGCGGAGCTGTCGTTGTTTCTGGGATGCTGATAAGTCTACACCCAGTCTCTGGAAAAGGCGATGGCTAACCAAAATCACGCATATGATGAGCAATATGATTCCTCGAGCATCGAGGAAGTTGCACAAGATCCTCCTTCGCACTGTGTTGAAGTAAGTCCATTATTTGTGTTTCCAGGTAGCCTTACTAATTTCTGCAGCGCTCCGATATCTTTCTTCCATACGACAGATTCTGGCGTGACTACAAACAAGTAAGATAGCCATCGCTGTACTTTGGTGTGAAGCTCACAGGCGCAATAGGTTCAGTCAAGACATGCAACTGGTGGATATGGAGTTACCACTTGCCCTTGTCGAGACGAGCGTTGGTATGTTCAATACCTCCCTGGTATTGCACCAATGAGCTTTGCTAACCTGTAGGAAGCCCTCATGTCTGCAATAGCACAGCTCCTAATAGTTTTCATCACTGGAAAATACCTTGCAGCCATCATCCCGCTATGCCTGGCAGTCTTCTACTTTCTCCAAAAGTTCTACCTCAGAACCTCGCGCCAGCTACGGTTTATGGAGCTAGAAGCTAAATCTCCTCTCTACTCTAATTTCATGGAGACCGTGAACGGACTGGTAACCATACGTGCGTTCGGCTGGCAAGCTAACTTTCTTGAGAATATCTGCGGTTTAACAGATGCATCGCAACGGCCGTATTACTTGCTCTTCGTTATCCAAAGATGGCTCACTCTCGTCCTTGACATGGTCGTGGCAGGAATGGCGACGCTGATTGTTGGCATTGCAGTCGGCGCTCCTGGGTCTATTGGAGCTGGTTCTGCGGGACTGGGGCTACTGAATATCATTAATGTGAGCGAAAGTCTGAAGCAGCTTATTTCGAACTGGACTGTTTTGGAGACATCAATCGGAGCAGTGTCGCGTGTCAGACAGTTTCAGGATGATGTTCAGCCTGAGGATAGGCCAGATGGACATATTGAAATACCGGCGCGCTGGCCGGAGAGGGGTGACATTAAGTTCTTCAATGTCACTGCTTCTTATAGGTAATTTCTTTTCACATTGTTACGTATAAGTACTAACTGGTACATAGACCCGATAGCGAACCAATTCTCAATGAAGTGACATTGTCAATCTCAGCTGGTGAGATGGTCGCTGTTTGCGGTCCTAGTGGCAGGTATGTTAGCTTTGCCCCTCTTACAGGCTCCCATGAGATACTAAGGTCATCAAGTGGCAAGAGTTCATTAGTCCAACTCCTCTTCCGCCTTCTCGAACCCGACAGTGGTCAAATTACTGTCGATGGGCTCGATCTTAGCTCTATCTCATGCCAGGACATCCGATCGTCTCTCTCATGCATATCTCAGGCAGTGACCATCCTTCCCGGTACTGTACGACAAAACATAGACCCACTTGGGAAAGAATCGGAGGAGAGTGTTACCAACGTGCTGAAAGAGGTCAAACTGTGGGACATCGTGTCGACGCAACTTGGCGGTTTGGACGGCCAGGTGCAGGAAGAAAGCTTCTCGCAGGGACAGAAGCAGCTTTTGCGCTTAGCTGCTGCTATGCTGAGGAAGAGCAAAGTTGTTGTATTGGATGAAGCGACTAGTAGGTACGTTTACCGTCGTATCTCAAAGCAAGCGACTGGCTACGGGTTAGGTCGAAGATAGCTAATTCTCTACCAAACAGTGTCGACCCCGAAACTGACGCTCTCATGCAGCGTCTCATCCGGACAGCATTTGCAGACTGCACAGTTATTGCAGTTGTTCATCGACTCCATACGATTCTTGATTTCCACAAAGTAGTTGTCATTGAGAGTGGACGCGTCGTCGAGTGTGGCGCTCCGAAAGACTTGCTGGCCGAGAATGGCCTGTTCAGTCAACTCTACGGGAGAGGTACCACTACCTCCACCACCACAGACATGGATCCTGAGAAGTCATGGCTCAAGATATAAACATTTCGTACCCACGCGCTTTTATCTCTTGGCTGGGCTTCCTACGGTGTTGTTTTCAGGCGTTGTGCTTATAGACCGTGGTCGGATGTGCTCGGTGATGTTTGGCGTCGGTGCACCTACTTCCGTTGAGTGGCTTACAGCAACGGCATTATACCGATAATTGTGTATTCAACTTCTTCTGTTGCATTCCTTTGTCTCCTAGATGCTTTTAGCAATCCTACTCTGCTTACGGAGCAGTGACTCACTAAACGGAATTAATTCCTTCATAATTCCAAATACTTCCGGATTAACCATTCCGGCTTATCATGCCACGTCGCCCAACGGTCGAGCATAAAAAGGAGAATTTCTCTCCAGATTTGGAGTATACTTGCTTCTTCTGTACGACTTCCTACCTCATCAAATTGATATAATCTTGTTTTGAGCATATTGAAGCATCAATTACAATGGAGTCCCACCATCTCAGCACCGTCCCGGATACCAAGATCCATTTCACCATCATCAAAGCTCAAACTTCCTCATCGTCTACGCCGCTTCTTCTCTTCCTCCACTACTGGGGCGGTTCCAGCTCAACATGGCACAAGCAAACTTCACTTACATCCCCACACACCCTCAGCAACACATACAACACAGTCGCCATTGACCTCCGCGGGTGGGGGCAATCTACAGGACCCGCAGAGAGCTCAAAAGACTACTCCGTTACTCCCATGGCATCGGACGTTGCATTGGTGCTATCCCACCTCCAAAGAACCACCTCCCTCATCGACAACGGCGTGATCCTGATCGGTCACTCCATGGGAGCGAAGGTCACCCTAGCTACTCTTTCCAAACTCTCCGGCAGCCTATTATCCCTCATCAAGGGCCTCGTACTCGTCGCCCCGGCACCCCCAACACCACTGATCCTGCCCGCTGAGATGAGCGAGCAACAACGCAAAGCATATGATAACGAAGCCTCCGTTCGGTGGACGGTCGAGAATGTTCTGTCCAGTACGCAGAAGATCTCGAGTGAAGATATGAACATGGTTATCAAAGATAGTTTGACAGGGAGTATTCTTGCTCGGGACGGGTGGATTCTACATGGTATGCAGGAGAATATCACATCTGCTTTGGATGAGGTCTCTACTCGGCTGGCAGGGCGGAAGGTTAGGGTTAGTGTACTGGCTGGAGCAGAGGATATTGTTGAGAACAAGGATCGGGTGGAGAAGGAGGTCATTGGAGCGCTGGCTCAGAGGGCCTTTGAGGTGCACTTTGAGGTCCTCGAAGGCGTGAAGCATTTGATTCCATTGGAAAATCCGGAGGGTATCGCTAGGGCTATTCGCTCGGTTGTCGCATAGTGTTTGTATGCATTTTTCATGTTCAGGGCAGAGAGGGTCAATAATGTAATCATCAACCAGTGATGTGGCAATGTATACTTTTTCGTGGACTTGGAAAGGTGCACAAAAAAGCATAGCCGAGGAAGAGAACAAAGTAGGTGGCGTATTTGTTATACCTCTCAAAACCCAGTACTTTCATTGACTAATTTCAATAAAATGGTATGGATTGCTCTTACTTTACAATGATCGATATTTAGTTGGTGGTCCTCACGAAGGTCGACTTCATGTTAGGGTGTGCTGGTGTCACCTGACACTAAAGCAGCTTGGCTATAACACGATTCTGTTCAGCACTCACGTCATTAGCTTCTCATATGGGTCAGAACCTACAAATGGAGGTTGGGGACGTACTGCTGACTGCTGACTGATGCCCGAGGTGGGTGAATGGTTCAGCTACTGGCTGTCACTAGAACTCCTGCCAAGAAACTCCGCCGTGGAGTTGTGGTTGAAAGGACTACTCCCGGTTATACTATATTCGCATCAACCAATAAGTTGTTTCAACTACTTTCACCGATGCTGAAGGGATCACCGCTGCAGCTCTATGGCACCATAGGCACGAAAATAGAGTTTCACGAGTAGAAGCTGGCCACTATATCGCAGCAGCTAAGACACGTGTGTGCCACGTTTCGAAGGCGACTAGCGTTGGGGCCGGAATGTTCCAGGATTATTGCCTTCCTCAAGTATCGGTATTGGTATCAATCTTAGTCTCGCAATGAGTCTCGCAGATGCCGTCGGGAACCGATAATTCCATCCGAAAGGATCCGAGGAAAGTCGGCTGCAGCCGCAATTGGACGATCTCCAGCAAGGTATTCAGTTCCTGACTCACGAGCAGCGATCCTCCCCTGATGATAGGTTGGGATCACCCCGGAAGGATGTGTCCATGCTTTGCCCGGTTCCAGTGACTAGATTCGACATTTCAGGCCATACACTTGATACACTAGTAAGGAACGTTTAGCGCGATTTGGTTTTGCTGTGTATGCGTACGTACGTAATACTTGTGACAATTAGTATTACTGTTTTACGAACAGTACGATCCTGTAAGGAACATCAAGATCACCATCACCGCACGTATACAGCCTCCTATTCAGCTCCGCCTCGTTCGATCCTGTGACAGGCATATTTACGCTGCAGGTTATCTTTATGCTTTACTCTAGCTTCTGGGTCGCCCACAATTGCTTCTCCGGACCGAGACCTCCGATCTGGCCCTCTTCCTTATCGTGAAATGACCCCATTGCCGGGCTTATCTTCCTATGCTACAGAGAGTTGTGGGATATATCACTTCAGAGAGCAACAGTTTTGACACCCAATTTCTGGAGTACAGTCGAATCACCTCTTCCTTCATCTCATCATCATGACTGTCAAAACGCCGTTGTCGAGTTTGAGCTCGGAATTCGCGGGCCTCACTCCCGAGATCTCTCGGCCGTCCTCTGTCGCCGGCGACAAACGGTCGTTAATCGTTGCATATGGATCTGTTGATACGAGAATATCCCTACCCACATTACAGTTATCGTTAGCAACTCAGTTATGGAAGGACTTCACATTGGATTTGCTTTCGTCTTCGCCACAGAATGACCTATCTACCAAAGAAGGACTCGTCGCCGAGTTCATCAACTTTTGCATCACCCGGTCTAGCGACGACACACATTGTGATGACGCCGCAGCAACACTGCAGTTGCTTGAGGCTCTCTTAGAAAGCTATGAGCAAGACTTTCTTGGTGGAAATGATATCCACTCCGCTCTGTCCCAGCTTGATATTCAACATAAGACCCCCATAATCAAAGCATACTTTGCAGCATACGGAACCCTCAGTCGCAAGTCTAAACGTCAAACTTCTCTCCTCCTCGAGTCCGCTACAGATGGACCGTCACGTATATACGCAATATTCGGAGGTCAGGGGAATGATGAGAAATACTTCGAGGACCTAAAAGATACATACGCGACGTACACCGATATCCTCCGTCGTTGTGTCTTCTCCGGAGCCAGATTGTTAGAGGAGCTCGCTGGGGCGCCTGCATTCAAATCTCACTTCCCACATGGCTTCTCGCTAATGGACTGGCTGGAAAAGCCCGACTCTGAGCCAGAGGCGGTGTATCTTCTTTCTGCCCCCGTCAGCATGCCCTTGATTGGTCTCCTCCAAATGTGTCACTTCATCGTGGCTTGTCAAACAATGGGGCTCTCGCCACGAGAGATGCATGGCTATCTGTCTGGCGTCTCAGGTCATTCACAGGGAATTGTCGTAGCCCTCGTGATTGCTGTCTCCGAGACGTGGGAAGACTTCTACCGACAATCTCTCGAAGCCCTCCGTATCCTCTTCTACATCTCCTGTCGCAGCCACGAGATATTCCCTCCCCAGTTCATCCCCGAGTCAATTATACGGGATGCAGAAGACAACGGAGAAGGGGCACCTGGTCCCATGCTCAGGGTACGAAACCTTCGACGGGGTCAGCTACAGAAGATCATCGACACAGTCAATAGCTACCTCCCGCAACAATCTCGTGTTGCTATTTCCCTCTTCAATGGTCCTCAAAATCTCGTTGTGACCGGCCCGCCTCTTAGTCTGTATGGGCTGAGTCGGCACCTACGTGGCTTGAAACCATCAAAGACCAGTCGCGAGGCACAGATCCCGGCCAGCAAGCGGAAACCTAAGATCGAGCATCGCTTCCTACCCATAACCGCACCCTTTCATAGCATGTCTCTGGATGAGGTCGTTCCTTTGGTTATGAAGGATCTCGCGGATATCACCATCACAGGTAACCAGTTGCGCATTCCGCTTTACGCAACAACCGATGGCCACGACATGCGCATTCACAAAGACAGAAACCTCATCGGTGATATCGTGAGCATGATTACACGCGAACCTGTACACTGGGAGAAAGCGACCTCTCTTTCTAATGCTACTCATATCATCGACTTCGGTCCGGGAGGCAGCGCCGGTGTGGGGGCTGTCACTATGCATAATAAGGCAGGTCAGGGTGTGCGTCTAATACTTGGTAGTTCCATGAAGCATAACGAGGAGTACGGAAACAAGGCAGAACTCTTCAATCGTGACTCCGACTACCCCGTCGTTTATGCTGATAATTGGGCGGAGACGTACAGGCCGCATCTGGCCAGAGATGCAACGGGTAAAGTTATTGTTCAGACCAAGTTCAGCGAGTTGCTGGGGCTTCCTCCCATCATGGTTGCTGGTATGACGCCGACTACTGTGCCATGGGACTTTGTCTCTGCTACCATGAACGCTGGCTACCATATCGAGCTTGCTGGAGGGGGATACTACAGCAAGGGTGCCATGGAGGAAGCGATCAACAAGATCGTGCAAAATGGAATTCCAGGGCGGGGAGTTACATGCAATATCATTTATGCGAGCCCCAGTTCCGTCCGTTGGCAGATTCCCCTGCTACAGGAGCTCCGTGCCAAGGGCGTCCCGATCGATGGGATGGCCATTGGAGCGGGTGTCCCCTCTGTCGACGTGGCCAATGAGTATATCGAGACACTTGGCCTAAAGCACATTGCCTTTAAGCCCGGGTCGGTGGAGGCAATCCAGCAGGTCATTGACATCGCCCGCGAGAACAAGACCTTCCCAATTATACTTCAGTGGACTGGTGGCAGAGGGGGTGGACATCACTCGTATGAGGATTTCCACGCCCCCATTTTGGAGACATATGGTCGCATCAGAGCGTGCAAAAACATCATCCTGGTCGCTGGTAGCGGCTTTGGTGCCGCCGACGATACCCTGCCTTACTTGACTGGAGAGTGGAGCAAAGCATTCAATGCACCATCCCTCATGCCATTCGACGGGATCCTACTCGGCAGTAGAGTGATGACAGTCAAGGAGGCTCACACCAGCCCTGAAGCCAAACAGTTGATTGTAGATATCCCTGGTGCAGATGATGCAGTCTGGGACCAGACCTATACACGACCTACTGGAGGAATCATTACCGTTCGGTCCGAAATGGGCGAGCCAATTCACAAAATCGCCACCCGGGGAGTCCTGTTCTGGAATGAGATGGACAGAACTGTGTTCAGTATTGCAGATAAGAAAGCAAGAGTTGCCTTCTTACAGAAGAACAAGAAGCGCATTATCGACGGCCTCAACAAGAATTTCCAGAAAGTGTGGTTTGCACAGGATGCAGATGGTAAGCCCTGCGAATTGAACGAAATGACACTGTCTGCAGTTGTGTGGCGAATGGTCGAGTTACTCTACATCAAGCATCAGGCTCGCTGGATACATCACAGTCTGCAGCAGTTGACATTCGACTTTCTTCAATGGCTCGAGGATATTGTTGGCGAGATGCACAGCAATTTCGGGTCCCGGTTTTGGCGGGCAGTTGAACAAATCGATGAACCCTACACGGCCATTGAAGAGTTCTTGATCAGGCATGCTAGAGCAACCTCAGAGCTGATGGATGTACCCAGCACTCAGATGTTCATCCATTTGTGCCGGCGCCGTGGTCAAAAGCCCGTTCCATTTATTCCTGTTCTCGACGAGGATTTTGAGGTATGGTTCAAGAAAGACTCACTGTGGCAGTCGGAAGATGTTCAGGCAGTGCCGGGCCAGGATGTTGGCAGGACCTGCATTCTGCATGGGCCTGTCGCCGCCAAGCACACCACGGCACCAAACGAGCCGATCAAGCATCTGTTGGATGGTATTCACTCTCAGTGGGTCAAGTCCCTCGCAGCTCTGGGATATGACAACGTGCAACCTCAGACACCTCTGACAGAAGGAGGTATGAGTGAAGTGCCGAGTGAAATATCTTTGACCAGAACATACGACCCTACAGTCCTCGGGAACGAGCTGCCTGCGGTTGAAACTTGGATGCAACAACTGGCTGGTACGCAGAAGGGGTGGAGACATGCTCTCTTCTCACAGAAATCTATCGTTCAAGGGCACAGTCTGTGCGATAATCCCGTAAGGCGACTCTTCGCTCCTCGGATCAACACCTACATTGAAATAGAAGAATGCACATCTACGGAACAGTCGGTGGTTCGGCTTTTCGAGCGATCAGCGGATGCGCTGCAGACTTTGGTTGTTGAGGTGCGTGCTGTTAGCGAGGACATCATCAAGGCCACGCTGTTCGAGAATCGCACTGTCACGGGAGCACCGGCAGGGCTCGAGCTGCTATTTAGCTACCATCCTGAAATCCCGTTCGCGCCGATCCGAGAGATTCTCTCCGACAAGATTGAGCGAGTGAAGGATTTTTATCATAGACTGTGGTTCGGTGAGCCGCTGCGATCTCCTGGTGATCCCTCACATGAAGATGAATTCCACGGTGATGTCGTTACCGTAACAGCGGATGATATCAGAAGATTCAGTCACTCCATTGGCAGTACATCCGCACCGGGGCCTCATTCGAGGAGTCAGCAGAGAATGGATGCCCCTATGGACTATGCGATCGTTGTTGCCTGGAAATCGGTCATGAAGCCATTGTTCACCAACAGTATCAGCGGTAACCTTATGAAACTAGTCCACCTATCCAACCAATTCCGCAGGCTAGGAAGCTCAAACCCCATCCGGGATGGTGATGTTCTTTCGTCAAGAGCACGCATCCGAGCCATTCTGAATGAAGACTCGGGCAAGGTTGTGGAGGTTTCTTCCCTCATCACTAGAGATGATGTGGATATAGTGGAGGTCGTTAGCCGCTTCATGTATCGCGGATCATATAACGACTACGACATAGCCTTTCGGCAGACAAAAGAGCCCAAGATTGATCTCCAACTAACAAGTGTCAAAGATGTGGCAGTGCTTCACTCCAAGCCGTGGTTTGTTCCTGGCGACAGAGACCTAGACCTTCGGGGCTATAAGCTCACATTCGAGCTGGAGACACATGCCCATTTCCAAAGCAAGTCGCTCTACCGCCAACAAAGGTGTTTCGGTCATGTCTACGGTCGATCTCCGACCGGTGAGGTCCTCGAGGTAGCTTACATTGATTACACAGTCGGCGTCTCAACTAGCAACCCCATCATGGATTATCTCAAGCGCCATGGAAGTGTGGTCGAGCACCCAGTTTTATTCCAATCACCAATCACTCTTGGCGGCGGCGAGATCCAGTTCAAGTCTCCCTCATCAAATGAAGAATATGCCGTTGTCTCCGGCGACTATAACCCGATCCATGTGTCCAAGGCCTTTGCCGCCTATGCAGATCTTCCCGACACCATTACCCACGGCATGCACATGAGCGCAAGGGTTCGTAGCTTGCTTGAGCAGCTGGTTGTCCCAGGCAACCCTGGTGGCTTTAGACGTTATCACTGCAACTTTGTTGGAATGGTTCTTCCGCATGACGATGTGGACCTGGTCCTGCAACACGTTGGTATGGTAAACGGACGGAAGCTGGTTCATGCAGAGGCCCGACGTGCCGGTACTGGAGACAAGCTGATTATAGCGGAAGCTGAAATTGAGCAGCCCAGCACTGCTTTCCTGTTCACTGGCCAGGGCAGCCAAGAAAAGGGAATGGGCATGGAACTTTATGCCTCCAGCCCTGCGGCGCGGAAGGTGTGGGACCTAGCTGACAAGCATTTCGTCGAGAATTTCGGTGAGTATGTTTCCATCCACATGAGTACGTTTTCTAAACCTCCCTAGGCTTCCGCATTACCGACATTGTCCGAAACGACCCTAAAGAACTCAAGATCCACTTCGGCGGTGCTCGAGGACGAGCGATCCGCGAGAACTACATGGCTCTGCGTTGTGAAATGATCCATGCGGATGGGCGAACAACATCCGAGAAGATCTTCAACAACATTACACAGGAGACCAAGTCACACACCTTCCGATCCAGCACTGGCCTTCTCTCTTCCACCCAGTTCACCCAGCCAGCACTCACCCTCATGGAGAAGGCTATCATTGAAGACATGAAAGATAAGGGGTTGTTGGCAGGTCACTGCAGCTTTGCTGGTCACTCTCTGGGAGAATACTCCGCCTTGGCAGCCATTGCCGAAATTATGCCAATTGAGAGTTTAGTATCTGTGGTTTTTTACCGCGGTCTGACAATGCAGATGGCAGTTGAACGCGACGAGCAAGGAAGATCGAACTTTTCCATGTGCGCCGTTGACCCCAGTCGACTATCGAAGTGTATGTTCCTTCGCTGCTTTATGTGACTGGTTGCTGACTCTGTTTAGCATTCAACGAAGACTGCCTGCGGTACCTGGTGTCGCTGATTGCCAGCGAAACCGGCTGGCTGCTTGAGATCGTCAACTACAACGTCGCCAACTCTCAATACGTCTGCGCTGGTGATGTAAGTCGATTGTTTGGGCAGTTTGTAAAAACCCTGCTAATGCATTCTAGCTTCGAGCCCTCGACACCCTCTCCTCTTTGATCGGCGAAATCAAGCCCCACCAATCTGACTTCCAGGCTATCCTCCAGGGTACCCAGCCTCTTGAGGATATCCGCGCCAGCATACTCGATACACTCCATCAATGCGCCAGCGCTGCCAAAGCCAAGCCCCAACCAATTCAACTTGAGCGTGGCGTGGCCACCGTGCCACTCCGAGGAATCGACGTGCCCTTCCACTCTTCCTTCCTTAGCCCAGGCATTACAGCCTTCCGTGCATGTCTCTACAAGTACATTGACAAGGATACATTGGATGCGGATCGCCTGGTGGGTAAGTACATCCCGAACCTGACGGCACGGCCATTTGAAGTCAGCGAGGAATACTTCCGGCAGGTGTTCCGGTTGACGAAGTCGCCGATTATTGCGAAGGTTTTGGCAGAGGTAAGTTAATGACCCGTGTTGTCTAGGTTATCAAATTCTAACTTGGTCGTTCCTAGTGGCCAGAGTATATAGATGTTGAGCGCGGGTTGGAAAAGGTCGCTCGGTCGTCGGAGGTTGTCGTTGCATAGTTGCATTTGGTTTATATATGGTTTTGGCGTTGTTGATACCAGAATGTTCAATAATATACTTAACCTTGTTATTATGTCATTCTACGTCCTATGTTGCTTGTCTTCTGCGCTCTGTTAGTAATATTAGCAATATAAAAAAGAACTAAATTAAACCAGGTTACCGGATATTGATCTCAGTCCGCGCAACTATAAAAGTACAGTTAACGAACAGCATGTCAGATAGTCTATTAAGACATGAATTATGCTTATAAAGCATGCAACTCATCTATCACTAAGTCGGCCATGCCCACATCCCTCGAGCTTGAGGCCATCCTATCTATGTCCTCGTAATTCTATGGTGCTTTTGACCAACACCAGGTACTCAAGCTATCTACATCTATCAGTCACACGGACCACGCTTCAAAACACCCCAATCGCCTTCCCGTCGCCCCTAAACATCGCATGCAACCCGTCCAACGCAAGAAACGACCTCGCCACATCCAACCCTTTCTTCCTCTCCTCCTCAACCCTCTCCCACGACCAAAACCCATCCTTCATCGTAACCCTCTTCTCCGGTAACAAGCCAGCCCGCGAGAGCACCGTCTCCGGACTCACTGATATCCTCCCCTTCTTGAAAACGTATCTCGTGACTGCAGAGGCCAGAATACTTTTCTCTTCCTTTACACCTATTGAACTTCCCCCAAACACTACCTCCCCTTTGTCTTTCTCTCCGCCGGTCTTCACGAAATGACTAACGAAATACACCCATTTCTCATCCCAGCTCAACACTCTCGTATGGATCTCATACGTCTGATAGGGCTTTATCTCCCTTTTAAAGACACATGCCGTGGATCCAAGGGCAATGTTCAGCTCCCCGCCGGAGAAGCCTAGCGCGAGCTGGTCCTTAAATAAAGTAGAGATCAAGTGCACACGGTTGATGTCTAGGTCGGTGAAATACGTGGCGTTGGACTTGTGCATATTGTAGTCAATCTCCAGGAGCGGGGTGGAGGATGTTGTAATGACTGGGTAGAAGAGGGATTGGGGTCCATGAGTGGTTATGTCCACTTTGCGGGCGCGGTTAAGGATGATGTGTTCTTTTAGGCAGTTGAGGAGGCGGATCTGTATTTAATTCTTTGTTTAGCATGGGGAGGTGTATTGTTTGAGCAATTGGGTTAAGAGATGCGTGGATTGAGGGCAAGAGTAAGGGAAACGAACATGCCAGACGAAAGGGAGGCCTTTCAGATTCAGAAGGATGTACGCCCCTCCTGCAAAGAGGAGGGTGTTTTGCCAGGTTATCGAGTTAAGGATGACCGATGTGTTCATTGTGCCCTGAGTATGGCTATTGTTGCAATGTGTGCTCGATAGGATGATTGAATTTTAGTCGTATGATGGACGACAGGTGACAAAAGAATGCAATGTCAGAACCTAGGGTAGCAATTTTGCTGCTCAATGACTCTTGGCCACTGTCAGCATGGCCCGTCCTGTTGTTACTTTAGGTACTCGGCCGGCGTTTCGCCGCTTTCCTGTAGACAGAAGCATCACTAGCTCTTACTGATATTATCATCCAGGTGCAGCTTCAGCTCCCTGCATCTGCAGGTCGGATCCTTCGGCGTTTAGCTTGCCTGGGTGGGTAGTACAAAGGAGATGGTTGAACCGTAATGCGTTACATACATACATACCATGTGTAACCCATTACATACCGGTATCCAAACATTACAAACATACCAAACATACATACGTCAAAACAACCAGGAATGCATACAACACCAAGGAGCACCTCCAGCCATGCTATATTTACGCACCATACGGCGTATATCGTTCGTTACTAATGCCCACGTGGAACAAAGCTTTCCGACATGTTGCGGCAGGATGCGCGGATCCACTTATGGAGTCGCGTGGCCTGCCATGTGCCAGGAACCATCGTGGTGGAGATGAAGACCACTTTACTCCGCGATAAAGTCCGTAACATGATTCATTTATTATGCTTTTGTTAGTTTCAAAGGATGGGATGAAACATTTGGGGTCCCGATGACGAGGGGTGTCACACGTGGTGACATTCCTCGAGTATAGTGATGGCTTGAGCGGTGGGCCATGGTCCGGAGGGATCGTCATTGTTCCAGTGTTGATTGAAGGAGCAATGGATGTCGCCTTGCCAGCTTAGAAGCTCGGTACTGGCTTGATTAGTTTGGGTGTGCATGTCTGGACATTCTGGTCGTGTCCTATTGTCAGTGTTGGCTCGAAATGTTTACTGTTGATTATGCCACACGGAGTTCGGTTGGTATCATTGTGGATATTAGGCAGCGACCACGTCGTGGAATGTTAGATTTTGATAGTAATTGCTCTCGGAGTAATGACTGGGAACCTTAGATCTGTATCTACGATGAGGGTGACTGGGATAACATTAGTCAAATTAATTTGAATTTTTGAACTGCTAGCAGGGCTGCATCAAATTATATATCCGAACATCATCATTCGATAGACAATTATAATGATGAACCGATTTCACGTATGAGTTACTCTTGAACCTACCTCAATTAGTACACGATTTACTTGTGGGATTTATTCGACTTAAGAAAGATACTATAATCGCTGCATTATTACTATGGGGTCGCCATGGTAGTGAGGGGGTCAGGGTAGGCGAACCTCAACGTGCGTGAAATCTTTGTTCCTTACTAGTGCCATTTAAAGCCAAATAATTATCAACTGGGTCCCATAGCTCAGTTGGTTAGAGCGTGACGCTAATAACGTCAAAGTCGAGGGTTCGAGCCCCTCTGGGACCATCTTTTTTTTCCTTGCCGCCGTTAAACCGGCAAATGGCACATCAACCAAACCCAAGAAGAACAACTACTCTCTCTGTGTGGAGCAAATGTGGACGAAGATTTCTCCTCTGTAAACCTTTTTTGTCACCTACTTACTGTGCTTTTTATTTCTAGATAGTCCAAATGGCACGGAAGAAGAATATCAAGTATGCTTCATCGGCATCCGACCATTAAAGAAAATGAATGAGGGTGACCGGCAAGACATTGTGGAGCCACCTTGCATGTAGATAGAAACAGAGTTCTTTCAGCAAGTTTAGATGGTGAAGTGTGGCTAACCTTATCCAAGATCACCGTGACAACAATAATTGCCATTGCGCTCAACAATTGCCACTGAAGACAGAATGAACGGTGTACAGTCAAACCTACCCATGCAGCATTGATCTAGATTTACCTCAAATGAGCTTTCTCAGAAGAAGCCATAGAAGGTGTTTTTCATGAGCAATTTTTATCCGCATGTCAGTACATTGTCTGCCACTAGGGTGGCTCAATCCAGTCCTATAGGAAGGGAAATACGAAAGCCATTCCCTGACGATCCAAAGGGATGGCGGCGCCATCAAGAGGCCATCACCCTTCCATCGCCGAAGGTACCACGGAGCCCGTCTTTTGCGCAACCCTCAAAACCTCCTCGACCACCACACGAGAATCCTTCAGTTTGATGGGCACTCGATTAATTCCCTCCCGCTCGATCATAGAAGCCGTCTGGCGATCGCAATACCTCTCCAGAAGCTCTCGATGATAAATCCAGCCCGGGATCCTGCATGTTCTTCAAGACAAGGAGGGAAGGCGTGCAAATCATCGCGCACCACGATCAGAAGATCTGGGAGTGGGCCGGAAGCAACAGCATATCGCCCTGGGTTTCCCGGGCCTTTACCGACATTGATAACTTTGCCGGCCATCCCGGCCATCCCGGCCATCCCGGGCACATGGGATCGGATTTGGCGCATTGCAGCCTCGAGAACGGCGACGATAGTGTCTTGTGACACCCTCTTGGGCATGGAAGAAGCAAGCATGAGTGGCTGTAGACCTGCAGCATTGGCACTTGACCGAGGGTATCCTCGTACCAACTGAGGTCTTCATACTCGGATCTGGAATCGTTCATTGCCATGATGTTTTACTGAAGAACTCGGCTTTTTGGGTCGAGGGTTCTGAGCCGGAGACCAGCACTGTAGATATAGATCCAAGCTTATACCTATGGCTTTATATGACCTTCTACTGTATCCCTCCTAGTTATTGCTTTTTCTGTCGGATACTTAAGATCATAATGGTTAAGTGGGCAACAGATCGGGCACGCTCGGAGTTTTTCATGCGGACTTGCCATGTTTTTGGGCATCCGCGCGTAGGCGGAGAACTCTGACAGTTCGTCCTTCTCGACTGATCACCCCAGAATGTTTTGTCCGAGCTGAGAATGGAAATTCCTCTCACCGCCATGAGCAGTGGTCTATCTCAATTGTTTTTGTAGCCAGTGTTACCCTCTAACAGGAATCAAACACAACCAGCAGCTCGAAGTTTTTTTACTGACTGCTCACGATGGGCTCTCTTGCAGAGAAGGTACTGCTTACAGGTCAGTGGAAATCCTTATTGCCATATTTGTGCAGCAGATGAACCAACATTTTCTGGATTATATAGGTGGCACAGGCTTCATCGCCTCGCACATTCTGACCGAGCTGCTGGACGCTGGGTAAGCAAGCATTCCACCAGACGAAATCTTTCTGCTCACGACGCTGACGTATTATAGGTATCAAGTGGTGGTGACTGTTCGCACACATGATAAAGGCCGACAGCTTCTCACTTCGTTGTCGAATACCGGCGATCAGGCTGCCTCGTACGTGGTGGTGGAAGATATTGCGAAAGATGGGGCCTACGATGAGGTAACCCTCACTGTTCTACAGGCATAAGCAGATACTTCGAACGTTGGCTAACATGGATACTAGGCTATCCAATCCATCGCCGACCTCGACTTGGTCGTCCACACAGCCTCGCCCTATCATTTCAACTACACCGATCCCAAATCGGACTTCCTTGACCCAGCAATCAAAGGCACCGCCGGACTGCTGGCCTCCATCAAGGCTTACGCACCGACTGTCAAGCGAGTGGTTGTGACTTCTTCTTCGGCTACAATTGTCACTCCCCCCAATCACCCAGAGGTGTACGACGAGACCAGCTACGGGTCGGTGACTTGGGAGGAGGCCATGGTACCGGAGGTTACATATCGCGCGAGCAAGGTATGAGCCCCTTTACCACCGCACGATACTATCCCTTATTGACACAGCGCGGAAGATATTCGCCGAGCGCGCCGCCTTCGAGTTCGTTGAAAAGGAGAAGCCAAACTTCGACCTCGTCACAATAAACCCCCCTTTGGTATTCGGACCAAAGCCTCCACACGTCACCGATCTCAAAGCCCTAAACACCTCAAACCACATTATCCGTGATCTGATGCTCGGAAAATGGAAAGACGGGGGCGCGCCTATCGCCATTCCTTTCACTTTCGTGGATGTCCGTGATGTTGCGCTCGCTCATCGTAAAGCACTGGAGTTGCCCGAGGTCAGTGGACATCGCTTCTTTACCGTGGCTGGCCACTTCTCGAATAAGCAAGTTGCGGAGGCTATTCGTGCCACGCACCCGGAATTGGCTCACAAGCTGCCCCCGAGCGATATGCCCGATGACCTGCCCCAGCCCATCTTTGGTTTTGATAACTCCAAGTCGCGCAGGATGCTGGGAATGACCTTCCGCGATTTGAACACTTGTGTGGGAGATGCAGTGACCTCAATGATGGAGCGGGCTCATTTGTAGATATTTTAGAAGGACACAATGTCATATAGGCCATGGAAGAGCAGGAAAACGGATACATGCTTGGTCCAAGCACGACACTATAATAAGATTGAGAACCAAGACCGGTTCTTATTCCATAGCGGTTATAGTCTACTCAGTACGTTAAGACGATCGCGCTCCTTTGAGATGATGAAGACGTAGTCAGGAGCCGAAGCCGCCTACTTGGCCATGTAGCTAGACATATTGCCCACCTACTGGAAACTCGATGAAACCCCATGCGTTTTTAGCTTCCGGGGAACTCATCTACAACTTCACACCTCTCTTATCCTCCAACAACCGCTTCAGAATCTTCCCACTCGCATTTCGCGGAATCGCATCCACAAACAACACTCCACCATCCAACCTCTTATACTTCGCCAACCGCTGCGCCACGTACTCCTTCACCTCCTCCTCCTTGAGCGAATTATCCTCTCTCACCACATACGCCTTTGGATACTCCGTCTTCGCCTCAGCATCGTAGAATCCCACCACCGCGACATCCCTAATGCGCGGATGGTTTCTCAGCACGCCCTCCACCTCCGCCGGCGCAACCTGGAACCCGCGAACCTTGATAATATCCTTCTTCCGATCGAGCAGATACCACTTTTTTGTCTTGCCGTCGCAATACCCCAAGTCGCCTGTTCTATAGAACCCATCTTTATCGAACGCGTTCTCATTGGCGGAAGGTAGGTTGAAGTATCCGCGTACGATGGTAGGGCCCCGTAGACAGACTTCGCCTGTTGTGTCAGGAGCAGTGATATCGTTTCCGTCTGTGTCGATTATTTTGGCTTCTATACCGGGGAGTAGCCGACCGACACTCCCTGTGTCATCGGGTTCAGGGTAGGGTATCATGGTCGCGATGCAGGAGGCTTCCGTCATGCCCCAGACTTGTGTAAAGGTTGCGTCGGGAGATAGAAGGGCCTGGAGACGTGCTTGCGTTGTTTTGTCTAGTGGGGCAGCGCCGCAGCGAATGATCTTCAGTGATTGTAGTGAATTGGAGTATTTTGGTGTAGTGGAGTGGGCGAGGATCGCATGAACGATTGGCGGGACGGCTGTGCATTCGGTGATCTTCTGTTTGTCGACGGTAGCTAGGAAGAGGTCTGGCTCGAAGCGGCGAAGGACGTAGGATGGATCGCCAAGACGGAGTGTGCTGAAGTGTGCGGATGGGGCTGCGGCGGCGTGGAAGAAGGGGAGATAGAGGATTCGGCGTGCCTAGTAGTTGTTAGGTGGGAATTATATGCGACTTTGGGATGGGAGGGAGTTGTTCTGACCTCAAATGGGACGGGATGTGCATCGTACACCAGCGTATGTTGTGCGATCAGATTGTAGTGGGTAAAGTCCACGGGTTTAGGGAGACCAGTCGTTCCGGAGCTGAATAGTCTCGCTACTACGGTGGTCTTCGCTTGACTGGTATCATTGTGACGGCGCCAGTCGGCTTCGCCGTGTTTCAGCAACGCAGTCCAAGGAGCGAGTCCCGTCGTAGCTGGAACCTGCGACTCGCGCGTTGTGAAGGCCCAGATGCGGTCTTGCGGAATACCGTTGCCTTCAGCGGCGGGGACCATGCGGTCTAGCATCTCTGGCTCACTGATGACGAACTTGACCTGTGCTGCCCGGAGGTGATAGCCGAGTTCGTGGGTTGTATAGCTCGGATTGGTGCCCATGTATATTCCTCCCGCTGCGATTATCCCGAGCACAAGGATGCTGTAATAGATCTGATCATCATGTCAGTGGCTATATGTCGGAGGGGACGAAATATTATGTGTTGTAGTGCATACATCATTGAATGAGTGAAGGCACACACAATCGTCGTCCTTCAGACCGGCTGCTTTGAAACCAGCGGCCAACTGACGCACCAGAGTGCGGGCTTGTCGCCAGGAAATGGAACGGCTCGTATGGGAGGCATCGATGTAAACCTGTGGTATTGCATGAGCGGCATTTTGCCATTGGAGGGAGGTTATAGTTTTACTGGCTTGTCGATATCATATCGTTCTTCGTCGAAAATCCAGGAAATAATATCCTGCACGGGAATGTCAATGCTGCCCTCGCCTTGGAAATACATGGCAAATAAGTGAGAAGCAGGGAAAAAAAATCAAGTGGGAATAAAGTAATGTAGTACGAGAGGGGTAGACTGGACCTATATGCCCTTGCTTATGATCATGTGAATTAGTCCGAGGTCTAGGCATTGAGAGGCTAGCAATCAATGCCGATCCCTCTCAGGTCCAAAGTCCGACCGTAAACTTTGGGTCAAGATCGCCGTGACTGTGCGGAGTACGATTCGAGCAGAAAAGCTGTGCAAAACCTGCCACGTCATTTGCCGAGAATCAGCTCCTGGTATGTACATACATGATCAAGTGCTGCTCCTGTGCCAAATCCTCATCCCGCATGCTATTTTGACGCGATATGTGAACCTCAGAGAATTGACGTGGGAAGAGGGCTGTCGTCAGTTGGATCTCCGTTAACGCAAGACTTTATTGATACACACCATACTCGACTGAAGTGGTTAACGATAAGTGAGATAATGGAAAAGTATTTCGGTAGTAAACGGCGGCTTACTCCTGGAGGCACCAACGAAGGGCATGTAGGCGTATTCCATCTCCTCGGTCGAGACTCCCATCATCTAGGGTCGAATCTTCAGTCGGATAGATATACTATTAGCATATACAGCATTGTCAGAGATAGTTGTGTTTTAGGGGTAACGGAGATATACTTTCCTGAAAGATAGCCTCATTGCGCTGCAGGGTATATGCTTGAGTGGAAACCCGAAACTACCGCCCTGGACCTTTTGTGACGAGGTTCGTAGCAAGACCGAGAGCGTGCAGGAGCGTCTCGTCTAAACGGGAGTCACGACTCTGTCTGAGGAAACAGTCTTCCGGATAGATACTCGAGCAGGCATCCACGCATTCCATAGGTCCACCAAAATCTTCACGGGTATAACACTGACCCAAGCAAACACTGGGGCGAGGCCATCTGGATCTGGGACCCGTGGTTCGCCACCCTCGAATATCGCGAAATACATAACTCGGGGCTTCTCGTGTTACTGCGGGATCGGCACAACAGGGCAAGTTGCGGGATCAACATGACGAGGTCACTTCCTCAGCATATGTTGCTGCACTTATCGGCCAGCAGCTAAAGAGAATTTGGCTAGCATGCTTGGGCTGGTGGTTCAAGAGATCTTTGCTGCTCAGGATCTCTCCCTCTATGGTGTGGACTTGCTAGTGGCGGCTGAACTGCGCAATTGAATCGTCGCGCAGGTGGGCGATGATGTCTCTATTTTTTATATGATGCAGAGTCCGTCTTTGGAGGATTTGTCGATGAAGGTTGCGCATAAATGGGCGTTGGGCTAGATGCTTTTTGTCCGTTGCCATTGAGTTGCAAACTTGGGAATGCATTTGTTCATTCAACTTTTGACGTTACCGCAATAAGACATGAGTGAAGTCGAATCGTTGCTTAAGATTCTCTCAGATCGCCCAAGATCTAACTACACAGAAACCTTACATTGTTGTGTATATGTGCTATCGGAAGTGTTAGGATGGGAAAGTAGGAACAGCTCGCGGAATACAAGTACAGAGTACATTCATTGCAGAATACTGCTGTGCCAACGAGATTCCCGTCCCTTATATTAACAATACCAAGAACGAGTAATCAATTTTCCAAATGAACCAAAACACCTCTTACACTTCATCCACCACCCTCTCTAGCCGAGTGAGGTCTGTATAGCGCACTCGAGTAGAAAGTTCCCGACATTTCCCCGGTAAGTACCAGATCCCCCACGCACCTAAAACCACGACCATTTGATACCCATCAAATGCGTACGAAGGCCATTCATAGTCCACGAGAAACTCAATGCCGCCCGCCATTGTCAGCCGCATCACGTTGCGTCCAGTGGCAATGATTGAGCCTGCTAAGGGGATCAATTGGTTCCACATCTTCCAGTTAGCCAGCACGCAGCTACTAGCAGCTGTAGGATGGCGTCCCAAGCGATAGCTCATCCAGATATTTTCTGCCATAGTGAATCCCCAGAAAATTGTCTGGATCACGTACAGAGCAATTGTTAGCTTCGTCCCCGTCGCCACTGTTGCAGTCGAGGATGAGACAGTCATGCACCCTCCAACAAGCTGAATCACCATTAAGATTGCATTCAGAGCGGGATAGGCGCCCCTCTGCCACGCCAACGGGAGCCAACAAAATTGTTCGGCATCGAGCACGTTAACAAATTCGCTTTGAGTGAGGTTGACGGAAAACATAATCAATGTCGGTCCCATCAACAGTGCAACTGATTGCACACCGTACGTGGCCCTATCGCAGACATCTTGCGTCGAAAAGGATCGCGCTGTATATCCGACCAATTGTGCTTCATGTTGTTAACGAAGTAAGAGGGCATCAGTGATCGGGATACTTACCCAGACCACCGAGGACGAAGAATATGCCGCACCACGCTTTTGACTCAATCATGTGGTATATGTGGATGATAGTCAGGGTAGAGAATAGAATGACTGCGATAATAGCCAATGCAAGGCTGGGAGCGTACACATACAACTCGCATTGCGTAGAAGTCATGATTGGGAGTTGTTCACAGTGGAAGAGGTTGTTAGGAATAACTTTTCTTGGAAGATGTAGACAGCGAGGATTGAGCGTCGCATTGGCCTATACATATATACGTCTTCTTGTATCTAGGCAGTCGAATTAACCTTCTGAACAGCGGAATGTAACAAGTTCAAAACTATGCCTGATTCTGCCCTTTTCCTGTTGAGAGATGTAAACGAAGGAATTTGGCTACAACAGCAGTTTTTAGGATGCCCTTGCTGGTCAGAACTCCACGGATCTACGTTAACTACGGGAACAGGTCTTTGGCGAGACATGGTTGGCTTGTTCACCATCAACGTCGTGCAGATCTTCTGGTTAGAATGTGTTTCAGGGTTCCACATTTCGGTTGGCTTCGGGTTCGGGTTCGGGTTCGCATTCGAACTCGTTTTCCATTTTTTCTGTAGGAGCTTTCATTGAAGGTTTATTTGCTTGCCTCCACCCGCGTTTCTATTCTCGGATCATTTTGAGCTATGAATTGTGGCAGCCTGCGCATGTCTCCAAATGCATCCATAAAAAGCACCTCCTACTTCTATATGTATATGGTCGAGACAACCTTACCTGGAATATTCTATCACCCACTGGCGGATGGTCGTCACAATGCTGAACATGCTTACAACGAACGATCTAGTTCTAATCGACGGTAACACGGGGTTGGTAGTACTTATTTCCACGGTATTATCTCTTCCTTGCTATAACTACAACACTAAATATAAACTCTCCTGCGCAGTTCGTTATTTGTTATGTCACTAAGATTGTCTATAATATCTTCTTCCACCCACTCAGTCAGTTCCCAGGCCCAGTCTCCCACGCCCTTTCTCGCCTTCCCTATTGCTACTATGCACTCTTAGGGACGGTTGGGAATCACACTTCAGTCAATATTGTTCTACCCCATGTTCAGAACACTTCTATTGTTTTTGGTTCCGAAATCGCTCCATGACGCCCAGAAGAAGCATAAAGCCTTTACCACGACTAAAATGCTCCGCCGACTGGCTATCACCGAAGATCGGCCGGATCTGATCAACACTCTGCTAAAGAAAAAAGAAGATTTGGTAAGCTACAAAGAATCAAGCTTGCCAAATTATCATCCTCAAACATACATATAGGGCCTGGGCATGGACCACCTGATCGCTAACGCCGAGATCCTGATTATTGGAGGCTCGGAGACCACAGCGTTTCTGTTGAGTGGAGTCACCTATTTCCTTCTCGAGAACCCTGGAGCTCATCAAAATCTGAGGGACGAAGTTCGGTCCACTTTCCGCAGCCAAGATGAGATCAACCTGATCAGTGTCAACAAATTATCCTATATGCTTGCGTGTCTTGATGAAGGTTTGCGTATGTACCCACCCATAGCAAACGGTCTCCCGCGCATGTGCCCGCGAGGAGGCTGCACGGTGCTTGGCACTATATACCAGCAAGCGTGGGTCTATCTATCCCCAACTCATATCACCCCGAGCGTTTCATGGGCAGCCCTCAGTTCACGAATGATCGTTGTGACGTTTTTCAACCATTCCATGTGGGACCAAGAAATTGCCTGGGGAGAAAGTAAGTTTCAATTCAACCTCTTGCTCCATTCCCGTGATGTGACTAAGCTTTTTCTTTAGCCTTGCATACAGCGAGATGCGTCTCATTCTCGCCTTGATCATGTTTAACTTTGACATGGTTATCTAGAAGGACTGCCATGACTGGATCCAGCAGAAGAACCTTCTGATGTGGCAAAAACGGCCGCTGAAAGTCTACTTGAAGCCGGTACCTAGAAATAGTCCGTGATTGTTCGCTTTCACTATATAGATGTGGACCCAAGCGACATACAGTCTAGAAATACCTTTGCTATCCTTATGACTCTTTCCTGTCATTGGATATCAATTTGGTCGCGCTTTTTCGACCCGCTGGGATAACGCATCGACGCCAGTCCAGTGGGGTAAACCCCTGCTTCTGTGGGTACATTAGTCTAATACATGAGAACTTAGTGTCAAGGAATACCAGTCAGCAAGCGGAATAAACTATTCACAGCGTTCTGCAGTTCGTGCTCCAGCACAAGTGTAAGGAAGCAAACGCTAACTAGTTTGTACACGTCTACTATGTACTTTGCTACTTTCTTGATGTTCCAGCGCTTCAGGCTCATATCTTCTGGTTCTGCAAGATAAGTTGTAGATTGCTGGAATTGAAGATTACCCGAACATTAACACTGTCCTCTTATTCAATCAATGGTGAAGGAGGGGACACCAATTGACATAGCATTGATATGGCAGCACGGACGATTCATTGGGTCTCCTGTCAGTGAAGAGTAAGCTCGATCAATGATTTTCCAATCTTGAAACCACGATGGAGCTCCCTTGTGACGGGGGTATCTCCTCTTTATCGAAGAATTTGTGGGCTGCACTTCGGCTGAGCTGCCCGACTAACACGACGTACAACACATCCCGAGCTGACCCGTGCATGCCTGAAACACCAAACAGTGCTCACGATATCCCAACAGGTTGCGTATATCCATCGATTTTATTTCTATCAGCGAGGCGGGTCGGATCCGTTGTTCCATGCCTCATCGACCTCCATCTCAATCCTAGCAAGGCTAAAGGCTTGGCCAGTCAATATAAGTATCTCAGTTCCTGTCTGTCCACATCTCCCAACCTCAACACCCAATCTTCAATTGCAATTATTCTCACTACAGCAATGGCTCCTCGTACCCTTCAGATCGCCTGCGCCGGCCTAGGTCGCATGGGCAAACGTCACGCCCTGAACATCCTGCACCGGTCACCCCGGTCCTCGCTGGTGGCAGCTTTTACCCCAGACCCTGTTGAAGTCGAATGGGCTGAGGCCAACCTGGTTCCCTATGGAGTGACTGTCTACTCGGATTATGATGCTATGCTAGGCCACAGCGGCCTCGAAGCTGTGCTCGTCTCCACCATTACCACCGTGCACGCCGAACAAGCTATCAAAGCCATCGAAGCGGGAAAGCATGTGCTCTGCGAGAAGCCCCTCTCAACAGATGCCACTATCGTATGTTTAACTCAAACCAACAAGCGTCTTCATCTCAACGTTCTTTACTAAAATAAGCATTAAGTGCCAATCCGTCGTCGACGCAGCAACCCTCCATCCCGAGCTAAAAGTCATGTGCGGATTTTCCCGTCGCTTCGACATTTCCTACAGAGATGCCTACTCCAAGATGAGCTCAGGCCTTATCGGCAAGCCCGCCATCATCCGCAGCCAAACTTGCGACAAGATTGACCCCACCGGAGCCTTCGTGAATTTCGCCGCCACCTCGGGCGGGATCTTCTGCGACTGCTCCGTCCACGACATCGACCTAATTTTGTGGTTCTTCGGGGCTGATAGCAAGGTGAAGAGTGTAGTAGCTAGTGGAACCGTGGCCCTGCATCCTGAGCTCAAGGCTTACGGGGATGCGGATAACGCAGTGGGGATTATCGAGTTCCATGGGGGCCGGGTGGCGTATCTGTATTGTTCGCGGATGATGGCGGCGGGGCAGGAAGATACCACGGAGATTATTGGGACGGAGGGGAAGTTAGTGGTCAATGGTCATGCGCAGAAGAACCTGGTAGGGATCTATGATCGAAATGGGGCGAGACGCGAGTTGCCGGCGCATTACTACGAGCGCTTTGAGATGGCGTTCGTAGACGAGGTCAATGAGTTTGCGGCGGCTTGTTTGGATAATACGGAGCTGCCTATGGGGATTCAGGGTGCAGTGGAGGCCGTCAGAATCGCGAAGGCGTTGCAGGACTCTCTGGGAAGTGGGGAGAAGGTGCGGTTTGATGAGCGGGGGGCTAGGCTATGAGCGTGGTGGCTCTTTTCTCGGGAATGTTGGAGACAATAGAGCAGTGTTGTTGGTAGGATGAATGGGATTTGCTATTATTGATGCGTTACTGGGGTTCTATGGGCTTCCTGTTAGTTCACCGCGTAAATCTGAAGGATCTTGATGCATCTACTAAGGGGATGTGGATACTTGACATGAGTTTGGAGTGCGAGACGTTGAATTAGGGTGGAGTCTGATTTCAGTGACTGTAATACAATGTGTACTGTATGGCCATATGTACCGAAAATAATTTCGTTTTAGAACATGGTAACAATACATGAGTAATAATACAATATGGGGGCCTCGTGGCCTGATCGGCTTCCTGCGGAACTCAATTCCAACAAAGAGAGAAAATAAGAAACACAGCTAAGCACGTCGCTATACGGAGATGCTACTGGAGTTAGTCTCACGTCAGCAGACGAGACACGAACGATATTGGAGATTATCACTCGTAACTGCACTCGATTTGCAGATAGCGCTTCTCCCCAAGTCAGGTTAGCTGCACCTGCAGCAGAGCTCGATCCTGCCGAAACTGAAACCTTGCCAATGTGCCAACAATCTCCGAACACGGGAGCTTCAGCCTGAAGATAAATCACTTGGCCGATGCTTATGATGTATCTGCTTATCTTTTCAACCGATGGGGATGCTGCGTTTACGAGAGTAGAAGGGCGTATATGGTTTACTCGACATGGGGCCAAATATGTGGCAGGTCTAGTGGATTGGAACGTGCTTGATATTGCATTGGCATTGTGACTCTCAGCTCTTTTTATTTCGTTATTTGTTTGCCTCTGTAGCATCCTCATCATCCTTCTACCATACTCACTGTACGCACACTTCCCAAAGTATACTGTAACCTGCACGATGGCCTTCGCACCTCCAGCAGCTGACCTTGGTACATCCATCTATTTCGTCCACCATAATTATCACTAACAACCACAGACTGGTCGAATCTTGGGCTCGCCGTGACCGACATTGGTACATTCTATCTGCAGCCCTAACTATATACCACAACTAACCCATGCAGTCAACGGCCACGTCGAATGCAAATTCGACCCAACGACCCAAACTTGGCAAGCCCCAACCTTCGTCAAAGACCCCTATCTCCGGATTCACGGTCTCGCTCCAGGCCTCAACTATGGTACCCCAATTCCCCTTCCCACATCTTCCTCCATTGGTTACTAACCACAATAGGCCAACAAATATACGAAGGTCTCAAAGCCACCCGCAATGCCAACGAAGAGATCCTCCTCTTCCGCCCTGACAAGCACGCCTCTCGCATGGCCCACTCCGCCGACCTAGTCTCCATCCCTGCAATCCCGAATACATTCTTCCTCGACGCCGTCCGCCTCGCCGTATCCGAGAACGCCGCCTTCGTGCCACCCCACTCCACTAACGCAGCGCTCTACATCCGCCCACTCGCCTTCGGCGCAGGGGGACATTTCGCCCTCACCCCTCCCCGCGAGTATCTCTTCTGTGTGTATGTGCAGCCCTTCGGCACATACCATGGTACTGGAGCAGCGGATGCGCTAGTCATTGAGGAGTTTGATCGTGCTGCGCCCCGCGGCACAGGTCATGGGAAGGTCGGTGGGAACTATGCGCCCGTGATGAAGTATACAGAGATGGCGAGAAGAGAGGGGTTCCCGCTCACTTTGCATTTAGACAGTCAGTCACAGACGGAGGTGGATGAGTTTTCGACGTCGAGCTTCCTAGGTATTGTTAGAGACGGAGATGTGGTTAGGCTTGTTGTGCCGGATAGTAAGTGTGTTATTGATAGTGTGACAAGTGATTCTGTGCAGGGGATCGCGAGGAGTTTGGGCTGGGTGGTGGAGAAGAGGAGTGTATGTGTATCTGTTCTCTCCGTTGGGGAATGTATGTGCTGACTGCTTAGTAGGTGCCCTGGGATACACTTGGCCAGTTCACTGAGGTCATGGCGGCTGGAACCGCAGCTGCTGTGGTTCCTATTCAGTCGATTACGCGGAGGTCGACCGGGGAGAAGCTCGAGTTCGGGAGCGGGCCGTTGTGCTTGGAGTTGTTGACGAGGTTGAGGAAGATTCAGCGGGGAGAAACTGGAGAGGAGTTTGCTGAGTGGGTAGAGGCTGTGAAGGCGCCGGAGACGGTGTATGAGAAGTACGCGGGTGATAAGATGGCGAACGGTATTGCAAATGGCGTTCATTAGATCTATTTTGGATAGCTATAGGCTGTCTTTCTAGTAGGTCTGATATATAGTCATGATAGTCAATCGGTATATATATTATACCATTTGAGGTCGTATTCATGTTGCACACTTGATTTTATTCATATAGTGAATATTTATTGGAACTGAAGCTATATACTTTCGAGAACGTTTGCAGCTTACAACTATTGCCCAAATTAGAAAGTCCTATAGTATAATCACTTGTATGTGTCCAGTACACTGGCAGATAGATAGATAACTAGTAGTTGGCGTGCTCGAGGTAGCTTTTACTGTGACACTACTAGAAAGAGCGTATTAATTCAAGTCTAATGTTCCCAGAACAATTAAGTGTACCATACAAATATATACAACTATAATATAGTGATAGATGAAGTCCATAGGGCCTTCTTGAGAAACATAGGACCAACATAATAGTGCGCTTGAAACCACAATTGCAACGCGGCGCCGAGGGCGACACAGTGTAACTAGTGCCTCAGGCATAAATACGGTCACCTATGTTACATTCAAATACGTAGCGCCCCATGCTATACCACAATCAACATAAACACATTCATTTCCCTCAAGTCCAACCTGATATATTTACCAAACCATAGTTAAAACCCTCATAACCCTCCACCAACCCGCTTCATCGACTACTGCCTCTCCCTAAAACAAACCATCGGCCCCTCCTTCGACGCCGTGATATGATCATACAGCTGGTACTCATTATCCCTCTCCCTTCCAGGCCCCAATCCCTTCCTCCCCGCACCAAGAGTCACACCCTTCTCCTCACTCAATACAAAATCATACTTCCACAACATCGTGGCAATGCCCAGCGTCAACTCCGCCAACGCCAGCCCCTTACCAATACATCCTCTCGGTCCGATGGAGAAAGGATTAAATGCGCCCTGGGCCTTGGCCAGACTGTCTCTATCAGCCGTACCCACGGCCTCAATATCGCCCTCCGCACCAGCTAAAATCCATCGCTCAGGACGGAAATTGAAAGCGTCAGGATAGTAGTTCTCGTTATGGTGGATGGCGTAGATACCGGTTCCGACGTCACAGCCGGCGGGGATGAAGTGGCCATCGAAGGTGGCGCCGCCAGGGCCGACCTCACGCCAGAGGGCGGATCCGGTGGGAGGCGACATGCGAAGAGATTCATCAATACAGGCACGTAGGTAGATGCAGGCGCTGAGGCGAGGGCCTAGGGTGATCTCGTCGGGGGACGAGAAGGTGTTTCGGATTTCGGTTGCTACGCGGTTGTACCAGTCCTTGTTGTGGGAGAGGTAGAAGAGGCAGGAGGAGAAGGCCGTGGAGGAGGTGTCGGAGCCTGGAATACGTCGACTTAAGTTAGCAATATAATAGTGAAAGGCATTAGGATGGATATGTACCAGCTACAACGAGAGTGGTCGTTTCAGCACCAATCTCAGCGAGGGACAAACTCTGCTGAGTCTCGGGATCCTTGGCGTCCAGCAGGAAGGTGAAAACGTCCCGCCGTGCGGACTTCGCCGCCTTGAACCTGCGCTGAAGAAGGGTGTTCACGAACTGGATGAACTTGTTCCTGCCGAGGATAGACTCCGCGAAGATCTTACGGTCCCAGCGCCGGAAAGCAAGAATAGGGGCTTGAGCGAGGACTGATAACCGGACGTTCGAGTCCTCGATCGCTTTGACAACGTATCGGTGCTCCTCGCTTGTTACCATATTGTAGTGTTCGCCGAAGAGGACATCGGACATGATGTCGAAGGTAAGGAAGTTGACTGCGTTCATTAGTAAGGATCTGGACATAGAAGGAGGGACCGTACAGTAGTGTGCGACATTGCGTGGAACAGACCACTCGCTAGGCTTGCTACCCATAAGTACGCCGCAGAGTTCATTGACATGCTTAAGAATAGCAGGCTGATACCGCCTTAGTGCAGCATCAGAAAGACCTTGACTGATAATACGTCTCTTTCGGCCGTGTGCCTTCTTGTCGATGAGGGTGAGGGTGTTCGGAGCGCGATGGACCATCGCACTGTAGAGCTTGGACTTCTGAGTGTTGCGTCCGAAGCCGTAGATGTCTTATGCTATTAGCTAGAATCCTTTGGCTACAATAGGTAGCATACCATGAAGCCCAATGGATGTGTTGATCAAGAGCTGGTTCGGCGCATAGCGAACAAAGTCCCCTACGACAATTAGCAACTAAAAGCACAGCCAGCCAGACGAACAGAGGACATACCATATTTCTCATGGCAACGCTGCATGTCAATATGCAAATCACCTTTCCATGCATGATAGCCAGAGTAGAGACATGTGAACTTGGCCCAGAACGGACCTGGAAAGTGTGCAAGTGGATGGAAGAATAGGTGGTAGACCGCATACACAAAGGTCTATGCATGTAAGTAACGCACATAGATTTGAGGTATGAAAACTGACCGAAGCAACTGCAGCACCAAAGATGGCTAAAACGCCCGCTTGCCAATAGGCTTGGAATGTAGATGTGAAGACCATAGTAGTAGTAAAGCCAGGCTCCGCCAAAGGCTTCAAACACGATAACAGATAACAAGAACTCAGTACAGAGCGTTGGCTGAAGATGCAATCAGAACGGAACCTTCACACCCAGGTAATATGCCTTTCTGTCGCTGCCAAAGAAGCGACAAGGCCTCATCGGACATCGTAAGACAAGCATCCAACAAGCTCTTTCTCACGAAGTGGACTGAGCAAGGACTGCAGCTCATGCAGGGGTGAGATGACGCCAACCGTCGTACCACAATCCACCTGGCTCATCCATGCAAATACGCCGATGAGCTCCACATTCCTCGTGGCGAGCTGCATGTCTCCACTGATTTCGAAAACGTGGTGAAGGATCAGTTACACAGCCACCACCTGGGTAGTCTTGTCTAAGGGATCAGGATCAGCACGATGTCCACAAAGATCGGTATGATAAGATACGGTCTGAAATACAAAACATACAGGCGTAAGTTACGATGCGTATCAATACTAGTGTTGAAACATTCGTAAAATACCGATACGAATCGTCTTCCCGGAGCTGAAAGAAACTAAGCCCTATTTACGCTCGGGTTTCAGGAATTCCGATCCACTGAAACGCTCAGATACTTTCAGCTCAAGGTTCCTAGATGCTGACCATAGCGCGAGTCATGCTGACGAACTCCGAGCCTCGTAGGTGGAGTTGGGGCCAAAGTGTCGGAGCCAGCCGTGATAGCACGCTGGGAGATAACACGCTCTCATGCAAGGCACAGTGCGTGCCTTAGTGTTGAACTGGACTTCGAAGCGTCGATGTGCGACATATATCCTGGGCATGGTTTTCCTCGAAATACCTCTTAGCTCCCATCAATCACGCTGTCTCACAGAGCCAACATGGCATCCAAGGAGAAGATTCACCCAAGGGTCCAGCAGGAGCTGGCATACGTGTTGCTGACGGAGCTTCTTGCGTGAGTTGGCTTCTAATTGCTTTGAGGCATTGCATCTGATAGCTTTCTTCTAGGTACCAGTTTGCTTCGCCGGTCAGATGGTACGTTACTATGAATCATTGGCGCTTGGCAAGGCGAAAGTGATGTACAGTCGCTAAGCAACCACAGGATCGAAACACAAGACGTTGTGCTCCAGGAGCAAAGGGTTGATCGACTGATAGAGATCGGACCTGCTGAGACTTTGCTTGGCATGATTAAGAAGACATTGGCCGCCAAATACCAAGTACATGATGCTGCACTTGCCATCCAACGAGATATATGGAGTCATAAGAAGAATGCACGAGAAATATACTATGAAACAAACGATGCCGAGGTCGCACCAGCCCAAGCAGGCAAAGAGGCATCCACACCTGCTGCACAGCCCTCACAGCCCACCGCCCCTGTCACACCCCCTAAGGCAACTGAGACTACCACACCCCAGCCTACTGCAGTGCGGCAAGCGTCTTCCAATATTGAAGACAAGACCATCGCAGCTATTGACATCATTGTTGCCCTCATTGCACACAAACTGAAGAAATCACTGCATGACATTGACCTGAGCCAAACTATCAAAAAACTGGTCGGAGGTGAGCATCAATCCCCCTTACTGCTATTCCCATTTCATCTATACGACCACACCCTGCTTCATTCTAACACACGCCAGGCCGATCCACTCTGGAAAATGAGATCGTCGGAGACATCGGCGCCGAGTTTGGCTCCATTCCAGACGCCTCCGAAGATACCCCACTGTCAGAGCTCGCTCAATCAATCGAATCTCAAGGCTCTTGGAAGAAAGGCCTGGGAAAGACCACACAGACCCTTGTTAACCGAATGGTGTCGGCAAAAATGCCGGCCGGCCTAGGGTCGGGTGAAGTGCGGGTCCACCTGCTTAACAAATATGGTTTACAGACAGGCCGTCAGGATGCAGTTTTGTTACGTGCTGCCGTCCAGCAGCCTGCCGCACGGCTCCCTGATACTAGTGCTGCTCATGCTTTCCTTGACGACACCGTCCAACAGTATGCTCAGGATTCGAAGATTGATCTATCTTCAGCAGGAACTTCATCCGATGGAGCCGGTCCATCGTCGGGACCAGTCGTGGTAGACCAGACGGCCGTCAAGGCGCTGGCCAAGACTCAGGATGACCGTGCCCAAGCCATGCTAGAAGTGTATGCAAAGTTGCTTGGAGTTGACCTGCGGGCTGGACACAAGGCCAATGCGAAGGCAGCAGAGGTCATAGCAGATCTTCAAGACGAACTGCAGCTCTGGATTTCAGAGCATGGCGAGGTTTACGGCTCGGGTATCAAGCCCATGTTGTCCGTAGCCAAGGCCCGCAGATACGACTCGTTCTGGAATTGGGCGATGCAAGACGCTGTGGATATGTTTCATCACATCCTGGCGGGGACTATTGCGCTGACTGGCCGCGAGATTGAAACCATCATGGGACGGATTGCTCGGAAGTCTAATCCCAAGCTCGTGCAGATGCTGGAGTACCTGGAGACACAGTGCCTGAAGCTGCGGAATCCGCGAGCGATTCATGCCCGCGATGTCCTCCGTCAG